TAATATCAGTAATATTAGGTATTTTGGATTTGCGCTTTCGGATTTCACCGCGATAAAGTGTTATTGCAGTTATACCCAATTAGTACCACTGTTAGTTTAGCGATAATCTTATTACTCGTCGATAAAGATAAGTCATAATCGATAATTGCACTGAATGTACGGATACAATATTCGAAATAAAATCACATAGGTACCTGGCACCTGCACAGTGCACAGTCGCGAGTCCTTCGTTCGTGCCGATATATCATTTTACTTAAATTTTAAAATGGACGTGGTGTTTTTAGAAAGTAAAAGAGGGAAAAAAATGATTGCTTTCAAGAACTATAAGTATAATTTTGGTTCGGAAAATATTACAACTGGCTTAATTCGTTGGCGCTGTATTAAACGTATTTGTACAACGAAGATATACACGACTGCAGCAGGAATAGTAACGAGCGCACTTGATTCCATTGAACACGACCACGATCCATCAAACGTAAACGAAATTAATAGGCAAATTGTGAGTACAGCGTGTAAACGTAAGGCATTAGATGATGCCCATACTTATCCAAAAAAAATAATACTAAAAGAATTAACACAAAATAGTTCTTTTATAGAGAATTTCACCAATGACGATATAAATAAAATTAGAAATGTTATATATGACAGTCGTAGAAAAGTTCTTCCAGTAATTCCTAAAAATATTATTGAAGCTCAATTAGCTTTAGAAAATACGAATGTAATAACTTGTAAAGGTGAACCTAACCTAATATTGGTGGGAATATCATATTTGTTTATGAATTACGACGAAAAACAATCCGACGAGGTTAAGTTAAGTGTAAAAAGAAAAGAGCTCCTTAAAATGAACATATTGACAATACAACATGCGAAGACTATAGCCAGGTGTGATTACAGGAAGCAACTCAGTTCACAAAAAAAAAAAAAAAAATGAGAAATCGTAAAAAATTTTGTAGTTAAATAATAAAGTTTGAAAACTCAATCATCTAATTGTAAATTTCACAAAGAAGTGCATGTTTGGCGACATAAGTTAACAATTTAAAAATACTATAGCATATTAGCATCATGATGAGTATTGGTACATAATAATAAAGTCTACTATCACTGAAATAGGTACTAATTGTGCTATTAATTATATTGCTTATCAAGTGTTTCAAAGTCACCAAGCTAAATTCAATTACGAGTATTTATCAGACTATTTTAACATGAATGATATCAATAGTTTAAAAACTTAGCTATATAATGATACCACATCTTTTAGAGGCGTTTTTTTTATACTTGGTGTTTTTCTACACGGTTTGGTGGAGTATTATTTTTGTTGAGATTCATTTATCACAGAAAATTATGAAATTGCAGGTGACTAAAAATTTAAACTAAAATAAAAACTCGAAAATATTCCTCTATGATTCAAGAAGTATTCTCTAAGATAAAAATATGTACTAACATGCAAAAAATAGTTTTAATAAAATGTAACTTTTTTGACTTATTACACAGGTTATGAAACGCAAAAGATTTCTTACTCTACTCAAATCAAGCAGCAAGCGCTTGTCAAAAATATGTTTTTTTATGAACTATGGTCTCTACTTATAATTAATACTGTAGCATATACATTATTTTCTCGTTTCACATGATAGTTTGTGTAGCAGTATTTAAATAAGTTATTTGATCATAGAGACTCCAGAAATAGTGCAAAACACTTTGACAGTACAGTTGTATCTTGTATGTATCAAGTACCTATTTAGAATACATAATATATAATTTTATATTATTAATAATTAGGGAACGGATTTTATTGTAAATACATATTTTTATTGGAATGAGATATTTTTAATCTGATAAAAAATGTGCACGAATCAGATCATTCTTATTAAAATAAGCCCAATTTTATTTGACATATTTTTACATATTTGGGTAAAAATACATATATTCACATATTTTGTAAATAACTGAATATTTCGTAAATATTTGGGTATTTTTGATTTTTTTCGTCAATTTACAACGACGTCAAAGATTATTTGTCTTATCTTAATGGCATTCAGATACCCTATGGTCTATATATTATACGTTGTCGATGAAAGCCTAAAATAATAATATTTTTAATTTTCAATGACGATAAACATTATCTACGTTCTCTAAATGGACTTACGTACTTTATACACTGCTATCGTATTATACACTGTGGACAAGTATGTAGGTAACGTGTTTATTCAATGTTATGGTCTTCAGTCTTCTGTGTATGTCTATAGTTACTGTTCTGGCGGGTGTAATTATTTGCATCGTTTTTTCCTCATATCTACATCGAAATTTTGTTGTTTTTTTCATAAAATTGTTTAGAATGCCTAAAGTTGTAAGTTCAATCAATAATAAGGCAGCCTCATATTTAAAAGAATTTCCGAATGAAACATTTCAAAGTAATGGGAAAGTTTTATACTGTAAATGTTGTGAAAAATCGGTATGCTATCATTACGTGTACGTCAGTAGATGTGGAACGTTCATTCAGTCAATACAAAAACATTTTACGACCAAATCGCCGCCATTTTACGTTTTTAAATCTTATAGAATATTATGTAGTTTCGCAATGTTTTAATAATTATTAATTAGATAGAAATAAGATTTTTATACTTACTTTTGGTACTTTTTTTTTGCTGTTAAGCGGTTATTACATATTTTGATTTTTTTTTACATATTTCAATAAAAATATTATTAATAATAATATTTTCTATTTTCTATAATCTATCAATATTTTTTTTTGTAAAATAAGGACAAAACAAATTAGGTATATTTTAAATTCATTGGATTTTATATTGGGAAAAATTAAGTTAAAATGAAAATATAATTAATTAACTCATACGTAATATGCTTTGACTAAAAGAAACTGTTACGTTATGTTTTAGGCTTACTTGCAAAATTATTTAAACCACACTGTGGAGGTACGCGTATACGTTACTTTTTTTGGTATAAATTTCTTTATATTTGAACAGTTTAAACAGTATTGTCAACTTGCTACAATTATTATCCTCTCAGGCATTATGTTTGGTACAATTATTATCTATAATGGATTACCTGTATATTACCTTCAATTAATATTTTTAAAGTTTGGGCTCCATTTTAATTTTGTTTCAGGCTTAAATTACTCACAGATAAATCTTATGTTATGGGCAGGGTTCGAGACTTATAGCATATGCATTCTTTTTTTATTTATTGTAAAATGTAGCAGAGTGCGAAATAAATTTATTTCTCAATGCCTGATACCAAATCTAAAATTTGAATGTGTATATTTCATAGATTTTGCAGAAAAGTGCTTATTTTAACGTTATTGTGCTTATTTTGGGTATTTAAGAAGATAGTAACGCGATCTTATCTACCTATTTGCAATATACAACTCACAACTTATTACAACTTTCGTGATTAGCAAATATGATGACACGTATGATTATTGTTGAGCAAAGATATATAATTTTATCAACATAAAGATAAAGATAAATAATAATAATGTCATCTAGATAAAGTAAAGGATAACTAAATTATTTATTTATCCAGAAAAAAATGAAAAAAAAAATATTTTACCAAGATAAATTATTGAATAATTTTTTTTTTATTGGATTATAGCACTCATTTCTTATAAAATATACACTATAATAATAAATGTATATTTTATTGTAATCATAGTGTTAAGTTTGTATTAGAACAATGGCACATAGTATGACACATTTCAGTTTACTATTATTCAAAATATTTTTAAAATTTTTAAATATATAAAATATATTAATATTATTAATTAATAATTTATTGGTTATTAATACGTACATTCCTTTTTAGACAATCATCAATACGCATAATGAAATAAAAATATATTTTTAAAATTTGAAAAAAAAAATTAAAAACAAAAAATATTTTGAAAAAATGAAATATTGGAAAAAAAGATTTATTTTCACTTTTATTTTAAATTTTCAAAATAATTTTTTTCCAATATTTTTAATGTTTTTTCCAATTTTTTTCATATTTTTAGTTTTAATTTTCAAATTATTTAAAGAATAAATAAATAATAAATAATAATTTATTTATTTATTTAATTATTTACAAGACTAACCGAGTACCGTTGCATAATCTTGGCGCGTCCAAGTTACGCACTAATAAAACGTGTACGCCTACCTTTAATTCCAGATTAAATTATGTTGTGCTTATTTAATTTTATCAAAACTGCATTTAAATTATTCGCTTAAAGCCAAAATAAGTCTCAAGGGCACTAAATGAAACAGCCTCGATAATCATTGAATATGCCACTAACGTAAATTCATAATCATATTTCAACTTTTCACTTTTTTTTATTAATTATAAGTTTATACAATTCTGTATTTTTTTTTTTGTGGGTGTGTGCTAGCCATCAGCTTTGTGATAATGCTCAATCCCCTGCGCGCAAGTCGGCCTCCGAGTACAGTTCTTCACTTGAATATAGTACACTTTATATCACATAATAATTATCTAAATATGAAGAAATAGGTAGTACTGATACTCTAAATATACATATCCAATAATTTCAATGTTAAGACATTTTGAAAACAAATATAGTACAATCATCATACGCATAACGTATTGATGTAAATTTATTTCAAAAAACAAAAATGGTTTAAAAAAAAAATATAAAATATGTTTTATAATTACAAATAAATGTACATAATATATTAAGTATTCATGTTGAAAAAATGCATTTTATTTTATTACAAATAGATATTTTGTACTCTTTACCTATAATATTTCCGTCAGTCATCTATTGAGACTCGATGGAATGATAGTCAATATGATTGATATTTTCTTAAAAAATATGTTATTTAACGATCAATTAATAAATTATTAAATTATTTATTGATACTTGTTTATATTTTTCCATGGGCATTTTATGAACAACCAGATCTTAATGACCAAAAGACATCGAATATTTTTATTTACATAGCATAGTTTGGATTTTTATACAGTGAAATAGTTAAGTTATATTTCATTAAGTTAAAAAAAAAAATTAACAGTTGTATTCTGATTTATAGTAACATTAATAAGATTGAACTACTGAAGGTTGAAAAATCTTTCTTATGTTAATTTAAAGGTTGTTCTAGTTTTTATGCTTAAAAAATTTAAAAACTGAATGCTCGTTGATGGAAAAATATACACCTCACTACACAAAGCTTTCTAGGATAGTTAATAATTAATAAAACAAAATAACAATTGAGTGTTTGATTCTATTTGAAAAACTCAGTAATTTCTTGTAAGGTTTTGTTTTCTGTTTCTGGTAGACAAAAATAGAAATATATACAGCTAAATAAACCAACAGTACCAGCTATAGTAAATACATTATAAAATCCCACTAATATTGACAATTCCGGGTAATATTTAGCCATGAAAAAAGTATAGATACAAAACAAACCCGCACAAGTACTGCATAAAATATTTTTACACCTGAAATCAAAATAAAAATTTATTTTCATGATGAATAATAACAAAATATTATTTAAGGAGAAAATTATTTGATATAATATTTTTAATCAACTTAAATTGTTTTTACCATTTTCAGTGAACACTTTTTATAATTTAGAGTAAGTATTATAAAAAGTGAATTTGAGAATTATAATAATTAATATTAATAATCCATTAACATTTTAAATTTCTAAAAAAATATAATATAGTAAATATTAAAATAAATATTGCATTCATTTTATATTTGTGTGCAAAACTTTTAAGGATTATTATTTTAGTAGGTTTTTAAAAGTCAGTGTGCTCAGCTTTTTTGAAAGAGGGGGGTATGAATTCTTTACTATTCTCAGACCAACTTATATATTATAAATTCATTGCCTTATCATATATTTTATACGATGAAAATAAGCAGAATGGGGGGATATGACCCCTCCCCCTCACACACACAAAAAAAAGAGCGCGCCCCTGATATAAATGTAAATTAGGGTCTGGTGTGGTGTGGGGGTGGTTGGGAAAAGTCACTAATATGGCTCCCGGAATGTGACCCCCCGGGTTCTTTGAGACTAGTTCTTGCCAAAAGTGACCTCCCGCAAATGTTTATAAAGGTAAAAAAACAAACTGGAAATTCAAAAACTATTTGTTTAAATGATGATTAAGTCTGATTTAGATACATTAAAATATTCGAACAAATTATTTTCCTAACGATGTTCAGTAAAAAAGATTGATTGTTATTTTTGGAAAAATAAAGTTGGTATAGCTAACAGGATACTCCTTAAAACTAAATATCAAGGTATTTAAAAATAAAGTACTTTATTTAAAACCTCGGAAAATCAGAATTTATATAAATTGATTATACAGGAAAAATGGGGGTGGTTACTCTTTTTGAATTACCCAATACATTTCAATAATTTTTCATAAATTCAAATATTTAATTTAAGTAGACAAAATGCAATTATTAGAATAATTCATAATTACTCATCTAAAATTTTAGATTTTAAGAGTTAAAATATTTGTCTAACCCGCATTTATAATAACAATAACAGATTTTTTATACCATTTAGTCATTTTCAAATTATCTTTCAATCGAAATATCAAAAACATTTTGAAATGTACGAAAACAATTATTATACATTATTATTTCATACATTTTTTTTTGTTTAACTTTGTTTAAAAAAAATATCATAATAACATACTTAATAGTAATGTATTATTTAATGCAGTTTTAACTTACTTAGCAGGAAATATTTCGGTGACAAGGGTCCACGAAACTGGCGTTATTCCAAATGATGAAGCTAAAATAGTAGTAAGAAAAAGTACTAGTACTATCCAAGAGGTTATTGATTCTGAGTTTTTCCAATAAACCCCGATTAGTCCAATAGATATATAGCAAATAGAGCAAATCGATAACGTAAATAGCGTGAGAAATCGTTTGCCGAATTTACGTATTAGAAAAACTGCCATTAAACTTCCTAACATAGAGAGAACCATCGTGAATGACTGAAAATATAATTGAATGCATTAAAAAAATGTATAAAATATTAAAATAACGTTTTCGAGTTTAAGTGTGATATGTAGGTAACTCAAAAACTTACTAATGTCAATTCAATGTTTACGGGTGCGCCAAATGTATTAAGTACTGGTACTAAATATGGAAATAATGGTAATCCAGACAATAAATTCACGAAGAAGAAACATATCATTATCAAACGAAAAGGTCTTATGACCTCGGGCTCAAAAAGTTGCTTCCAAGTATTTGTATCTCCTTTGTGATCTATAAAAATGAAGCGCTTGAGTTGAGCTTGCTGCTGTTTAATAAAATAGAACAAAATAATCTATGTAAGAGAGAATAAGAGATATTACTCGATTGATCATTGTTGGAGGGAGAAATGTATTTGACCATTTCTTGAAATTCGTCATCACATTTTTCATACGACACTTTTCCCCTCAATCTGCTAAGGTTTCGGTGTGCTTTTGAACTTTTTCCCTTGGCCAATAACCATATCGGAGAATCTGGTGTCTAGAACATATCATGATTTTGGTTGATTATTATTGAGCCGTCAGAAATATCAATCGTATACCTGATTACCGTTAATAATAAAGCAATGCTCAAAATCGGAAACACCGTGGTCACTATCACCGTCAATCTCCATTGCAGGGTTATACTGTACAACATAGTCAATATTATGGATCCCATAAAAAAAAATATGTTCAGCGCTGAATTCAATGCGCTTCTTAGTTTTGGTTCGCCTACTTCACCGGCGTATGCAAGACTCGGGGAGCTCGAAAACCCAATTGCCAACGCTATCAGGATTGAGCTGGCGTACAGCATTTCTATGTTTTTGGCGAAGTACAACATGAACTGAGCTACTATGCTCGGAACGTTTGTCAGTATTAAACACTTCTTGTGACCAAGACGGTCCAGCAAAAACAATGATAACATATTTCCCACAGGTGTGAACAAATATAACAGACTACCTGAAATTTAGTTTAATATGTTATGACACGTCAACATGCACTATTATGTGCATCACATTTGTATTTATGGTTTTTTTTTTTTTTAAATGTATATTTCATATTTTTTATAAATAGTAGGTATCCCACAAAATAAGTGTTTTCAATATATATTTAAATTATTTTTTTTATACATTTACCACAGCTGTATTTTATTTACAACAGAGTAGGTGTACCGTCCATACGTGTGTGTTTTGTTGTTTAATAGTGTATAATAATTGTTCTTGGTAAACTCACCGAACCAAGATGCTTCTTCGTCTGTTATACTCAACACTTCATTTGAGTCTTTGGATGCGTCATTCTGTAAAGCCCCAATAACTACAGTGGATACCATTAGTTGTGCACCGAGTTCGATTTGCAAGAACCATACTCCTGATATTGCCCAACACTGTTTACACATAAATAATATATTGATTCTCACTTGAATGAACAAATGATAGTATATTGATATAATTATGTCTGTAATTCTTTTCAAACCATTCGCCATTGCAATTAATGTGAAATTTGAATTTACTTATTTATTACAAATAACTTACCTGAGCTAAAGTTGATTTTATTCCATAATGATAACGTTTATTTTCCCCATCCATATTGTTGGATAGTATCGTGTTATTTTTCTATAATTTAAAAAGAATAATTAGTTAAAAGGATGTTGTGTAAACTATACAATATTTCCATATTCTAGTTTAATTTAAGTATATCAGAATGATCTAATACTTGGAGTACCTACTTAATAGATTATACAGTGTTGTATTTAACGTAGGTACCTACATACTTTGTCCATTCCTTTACCAATTTATGATTTGAAATAAATACATATAATTAGATGTTGTTAAAAATACAATTTTACTGCTGTATTATCTGAATTTCTTGTTTTGGAACACAAAATGTCCATTTTTATATTGTATAATTTATTGATTATTAAAATAATAAGTTTTTTTTTATTAGTCTTCAGTCGTAGACTATTATGGCTTAATAAGTTATTTATTTATAGGTATTTGAAATTTAATATTCATAATTTTAGGGTTCATGCAAGTTCCAAGTGTGTCGATGTTATTTTTCCAATTTTGTTTTTAATTTCTTTTCTAATTGTTTTCCAAAGAAAATGTATTATTCATATGAATTATTAATTGCATGATAATGCAGCTTGCTTTTTGAATGGTAAAAAAACTTAAACTAATACTATAAAAAATAATACTTGTTTGAAAGTATAAAATATCACAAAAATGTTAAAATACAAGACTTTTTTGAAAGTTAAACTGCAGTTATTTCAGTATTACATTTTTTAATTTTGTGCAAATGTATTGCAATTATTTTTAATATTTTCTTTATGTCCGTGAATAGTTAAAAATAATAAAATAATTTAACTTTTAGTTGGTTTATTTTATTTAAATTAATGTATTAAGTTTAATTATTTTTAAATAAGAAAAATAATTTAGAGAATATCTATGAATAAACAATATTTTCTAAAAATACTCACCACTATAAGATGTTCAATTAATTTTTAAGTTATAATAGTAAGTACTGAATACTACCGAGTAGCTGTAAAAAAAAAAAAAAATGTTTAATTGAATCAGTGTATGTGATGATCACTCAACGTACACTGTTTTAAAAATAAGTATGTTATAACATCTTTTATATTGCACGTAATTAATATTGTGGCCATCTAAGTGCTTTATACTATCTTTTATCTTAATTTTTTTACTTTTTGAACAACCATATGGTAAATAAAGTTTAGTATGTATACAAAATCTTTCGTCATTATCATATCCGTTGTTTTCATCATTCTACTCAACTAAATATATCTTTACTATTTGTATGCTCATAACTGTCGTCATCATCAAATCAATTATAGCCTCCAATCTAATCAACCAAAAATATCTTTACTATTTATAATCTCATTACTAACGCTTTCGTATAACTGTTTATCCATTTTTATGTTATCTATATTTTATACAAATAAATATAATAATATTATTTAAATCTATCCCTCTTTTTTTGAGCTTAAATATTTAAAAAAAAATTATATTTATTACAATAAATTATAGATATTCACTATATCAGCTGTAAAACCCGACTTTTCCAATTTAGAAAAAAATAAAATACGACCCTATACAGGTATGTCATGGTTTTAGCAGCTTAAAACATACTCCAAGTACCAAGAAATGTATCGATATAATTTTTATTGAAATCTGCTCAGTAGTTTCCAATATAAGCACGTTCAAACATTCAAGCTCTTTATACTCTTTATATACACTAATATTATAAAAATATTTAAATACATTTCTAAAAATCGAATTTCCCTCTTCTTTTTCATTTTGAAATTCGTAATTTAAATTTTTATTTATTTAAAGGTTTTTTAATCCATTTAAATGATTCTGACGCCGGAGTGTTTTTAAAATCAAATTGCTGGCATGATCAACACCAGGTTTGTCAGTTACTATTATAATATATATTCATATAATCGATTTTGATTTTTAAAAAAAATGAACGAATCTGTAGTTGTTATTCACATTGCGTATACTTACATATACATAATATTATCGTGGAGTGGTGTGGCCCGGTGTAGACACTTAGTTGCGTACTCTAGTTCCCGGATGGGTGACCACTCTGGATTTTTAGTAAGAAAATCCTTGCCACACATACAAATGCGTTCCAAACCAACCGTACCATCCTACAAACAGCTAATGGCCATATTTGCCGGGCTTTAAATCAATAAAAGAAAAGAAAAATATTATGAATAAAATATAATATAAACATGAATTACACAATAGAATAAGACTTGTAGCATTGATGCGTATTGTTGAAGCTAATGTATTTTTCATAGATAAACGAACTAGCAACTTTCAACGTTATTACCTCATCGGTGACCTTTGCTAATTCCCAACTTACTGAAATACCTTTTTATTTCTGCTGTGGTCACTGAAATCATACAAAATATTCAGAGATATTATACATGTTTATAAAAATAGTTGTCCACGTATTTCGGAATTTAATAGCTCGAGTGGTAAAATTACAATACATTTTGAAAAGTGGAAGTAAATATAGTTTTCAGATGTAACATTTCATATCTTCAGATAAATTTGATTTGTATTTTTGTGCAAGTGAATTTGTTTTCAATTCGAATTCTAAACAATATATTACAAGTAATACAGAAGTCCCATTATGATAATTTCTAGATAAGCAATGGTTAACTCGAATCTTAAAATATCAAAATTACTAAATATATAAATATAATATTTTATTTATATTTATGACATAAAATAAATGTACCTATCGAAATTTCAAAAATTACAAATTTATTTCAACGGTCTCCTAAACTCCAGACCCAACAGCTAACCTAACCACCTAGCCCCCTCCCCATCTCCTAATTTATTAATTATAATTCAAATTTCAAACATAAAAATCCTTAAGCACACTGTCGTAAGCTAGTTACGCTATCGCCTATCGAGCAGTGCTGACTATCTTCTAAATAATCTAAATAATGGTAGGTGCTCTACCCGTATTTATACAGGTTCTAACAATGACGTCTAGGTCTATTCTAATATTCTAATTTTACGCCAAAATATTGCTGATTAGCATCATTATGTAAAATAGGTAACAATAACCTGTCGTTTTCACCTCTGATCTCTGTTTCCCGTTATTTAGTCTTTTACGAACATTGCATATTTATACTTGATTTATCTATCATAAATTATACCTCGTGTACAGTTTATAATTATAAGTAATATATTCTAATAAGCGTTATGAAATAATAATGAGTAATATACATACTACTTTTTTGGGGTTTACTATAGTGCCTCGAAGACAGATATTATTGAATTAATGGTCATAATATGTTTTCTAAGTTTAGTAATGATTAGAATGTACATAACATCATTGTTTAAATATATTTATGTCTAGATTTATTTTCTAAAATAAACGTAAAATAAAGATAATATTATAATAATGTTAACATTTTATTTCTGTTTGACAATCAATATTACTACAAAGTTTATTTTTTTTAATTTTAAAAGTTAAACAGTTTTCTATTTAAAGTTCATATTAAAGTGCACGTTTATTTTTATTTTTAGGAATTAAAAATATGATATTCTGTTAGCTTTCCTTCGAATTTAAGTCGTAATAATTGCATGTTCTTTATAAAATTATGTTATTTTAAAATAAATATTGTGATATCTATTTGGTGTTTGTCTTGGATTGATATAAATGCATAACCATTAACCAGTTTTGCTTACTGCCCAAAATATATTTAAGTATATACATTATGCTAATTTCCATTTTATATAATTTTTTTATTACTACTATCTAACTATAAGCTCATGTTTATTTCACTATATTGTCTCGCCACGCCTGGAGTGAGGTCTAAATTTAGTGTGTCTAAAGCACACATTTATTGTGGTCCTACGTATAATCAAACTCGACATATTTACTTAATCGTGTAAAATCCGAGCCATGTCAAAGTTTTTTTTTAAACTGAAGCATGTTAACTGTTTTTTTTATTTGTGAACAAATCTATTAGTTCTCAAAAATCAAAAATTAGTTTAACAAAAGTGGATAAAGCTCTGAAGTACCATTAAGTATCTGGGCACAGTCACTGTAATGAATGTGTTAAATTTGAATTCGATGAAATAAAATCATGGTGTACAAAAAAATATTCAGAGCGAAGACGGTCTGACAGCCTATATAATATATTATTAAGTATATCAGTATATGTATGTTGCATGATAATATTGCGATTAAAGCAATTTATTTTACTATCAATCATTTAGTAGGTACTATAGTAGTTTTAATTCATTTTTGTCGAAACAATTGCGTTTGAATATTTTATTGTGTTTTAAATAATAATAATAATGACGAATAATATTTTTAAATCACAACAAAAATTGAAAATGTTATTCTTCGTTTATTTATCTTAAGATAAACTTAAATAAAATTAAAATAACTATAAAAAAAATTGTTTATTAAGTTTTTAGATTTTTTCTACCCTAAGTTATAAGAGTTGAACATTTTTGATAATACATTCATGTAAGTATAATGTATATGTGTATATATTACGGATATTATTAAGAATAATGTATACCTATTCTATATCTAATCTAAAAACGATTATGAGACACGTGTATGAATAACTGCACGTGCCGTTTTTTTTCTCGTCCGGTTATTTGGACGTCCGGATTATTGGCGTTCGGATAATCGGAGTTCTACTGTACCTACACAGTTTTACCAAAATATAGATGTATTATAATATTTATAGTTTATACCTTTCTTTGTGCGACATTTCGACGGTGTAATCGTTCGGCATCGCTGTGGCTCGTCTAGACGTGGCGGTTGGCGGGCGGCGACAAGTCCTGCGGATCGTCTGCCGGCGGTATGTCCCCCATCACCATGTCCTGGTCATCGCTAGGGCCGGGTTCGGTTTTGGTTCCGGCCAATTCTGTTTCCACGGCCTGTAGGTCTCGATCGGACATTTCTATAGCAGTTGATTGTTTAGCATCCTGGCGTATTGGAAACATGATGATGATCGAGGGTTCGGCCGATTCCACGGACTCTTTTATTTCCGGTTCTCCGGAGTCGGTGGACGGTCGGGATTGCACCACTACGGTAACCGCCCATAGCAAGACCATGGCTACCAGTAACCGTGGCGTCAGCGTCATCATGATGGCGGGTAAGGCGATCGTCTTCGACGTGCTATACGACTGCGGTACAGGTTATAATATAATACGTCGTTTGACGATAAAAAATGTTACATCGAAATATCAATAAAATTGTCTTCTCAAATAGCAGTGCGCAGATGAGATGAATGTTTAATCGTAGTGGTTGTCTTACCGCTGTCCGTGTGACTTGGGCGATTGGGTCCGTTGTTCTGCCATTTGTCGTCGTCGTTATAGATGATACGTGAGTGTGGTGGCTGAGTTGTGTACCCATTGAGCGTCATGACATCGAAATGCGTGTGTAAAAACCATAATAATATGTGCTTAGGGCCTCAGTGTATACATTTATATTTTATACAATGTGCCGCCGTCCCCGATCCAGCCACCGTTGCACCTCTACCCTAGGACCGCCCGTCTATAAGTAGCGTATACCAACGCAAGGACAGATCCAGGGGGGGATAGGGCCCCCTCTCCCAAGACATACGAGTGCTAACTACTGGATACTACTATTCATTATAATTATTAATGATGTTTTATTTACAACCGATGCATTTTGTTTTTGTAGTGTTCTAACAAAAATTGTAGTGATTCAGAGGCAACAGGAGATATATTTTTTTTTAATATTATTTGTAATTACTATATACGATTTACTTGTTTCTTTTAAACATATTAATTGAGTATTGAAAATATAATATAATACAATGCAATAAACTATATAATAGTACTCATAAGTGAGTCTTGTTTTCATTTTCTATATAAAAAAAAACCAATTTTTTGTTAATCACATCATTTGAGAATGGCTGGACCAATTTGACTATTTCTTTTTTCAAGGTACCTTCGTTGTAGTGTGTACCATATGTACTATGGGTGCACTAAGAAAAGATTTTCCAAAATTTTGCATTTTAAAGAGGTTCTCACAAAATGACTTCGAGATTTACATCGAAAATCGATACATTATTAAAAAAAAAAAATAATTACTATGAATAATTGCCAATGACAGATGAGTTGAAAGCATTTATTAAATTGTCGTGCTTTATATGGCATCAAATAAAGAAATTATTTATATCTTAAAACAAATATGAGAGTTGAATGTACGTACATGTCCCCAGCCCCACCCAATAAAAATTTTTACATTTTTTTCAACTCAACATTTAGCAGTCAATTAGCAACAATTTGCAAACCTGTTTTCACAATTTGCAAGCCTTTAGTTGAATCATAAAATAAAAAAAACTAAGGGTGGGGCTGAAGACACATGTCCCCAGCCCCACCCATGTCAACGAAAACACATTTTTTAATTTTTCTTGAACCATCATTTAGCAGCCAATTAGCAACGATTTGCAAGGTAGTTGTCGAAATTTGCAAGCCAATATTTCGTCTGTTATACGAATTTCCGAAATTTGCACATGTCGCCAGCCCCACCCC